TACCTTTTCCCAGAGGTTATGTTACTCCATGTGCTGGCATCCATCTTGGATTTCTGCTGAGCATGGTGGGAAGCTTTTATGCCTTCAGGTCTCTGAGGTCCATCCCCCAGAGGGGTGTGGCTGAGTACATATAAGCCTGTGATCCGCACATGCTCTTTGCACTTGTGTCTTGTGTCTTTGTCTTGCTACAGCTCTGTGTATATGCTCGTGACTCTTCTGGTATTCTGACTCGGCTTGTAACTAAGACCATTCTCTGTGTTTTCCTTCGATCTGACCTTCCGTTGCTGAACCCGGCCCGTGACCTGTGATTCTCTGTCTACTGTTCTGTACTGTTTTGTCCTGTTGTTGTCGACTCGGCTTGCCTGACTACGCTATTGTCATTCTCACCAGCTACACGCCATTGGCGGCGGCCATTACCGCAGCCGGGGTGTCTCGGGGGCCGCGACCTGGTTCCTGGCTGCGTCAAGTCCATCCCCACCATCAGGGGCCCTGGTGAAGGGCAGCCTGGGACTTAGACTCCACGCCCTGAGGGACTTTGGTCTGTTGGTGGTGGTTGTCGTCAGTCAGTGCGTTACCCTGCCACTAGGCCTACCTGTCCGTTCCACAGCCCTGCCCTGACATTTCCCTCTCTCTTCCCTCTCTTTCTCTTTGCTCTCTTTCTCTCTTCCCCCTCTCTCGTTTCCCTCTATTTCCCTCTCTCTCTTCCCCCCTCTCTCTCTCTCTTCTCTCTCTCTCCTCCCCTCTCTCTTTTCTCTCTCTCTTCTGTACCCTCTCTCTTTCTCTCTCTCTCTCTTCCCCCTCTCTCTCTCTCTTCCCTCTCTTTCTCTCTTCCCCCACTCTCTTTTCCCGCTCTCTCTCTTCCCTCTCTTTCTCTCACTCTTCCCTCTCTCTTGCCCCTCTCTCTCCTCTCTCTTCCCTCTCGCTCTTCTCTCTTCCCTCTCTCTCTTCTCTTCCCTCTCTCTTTCTCTCTCTCGCTCTCTTCTCTTCCTTCTCTCTTTCTCTCTCTCTTCCATCTCTATTTTCTCTTCCCTCTCTCTCTATCTTCCCTCTCTCCTCTCTTCCCTCTCTCTCTCCTCTCTCCCCTCTCATTCCTCCCCCCCCCCTCTCTCCCCTCTCTCCCCCCCTCTCTCTCTTCCCTCTCTCTCTCTCTTTCCTATCCCCTCTCTCTCAGATTGTGTGGGACTGCACACACACACACACACACACACAGTATGATTACCCCCCCCCCCCCACCTCCTCCAAGTACTGCTGATCTCCGGGCAGCAGGAATTGTGGGCAGGGAGTGGTAATCATACTGTGTGTGCAGTCCCATACAATCTCTCTGTGATCGTGTATCATGTGCTGCATGGATGAGAGGGGGGAGAGCCAGAAAACACATCACAGCTCACCTCCTCTTGACTCTTTCCTCTCTGCCACTTCTCCTCTCTCTGCTCCAGGCTGTTTCCTGGTCCCAGCTCTGAATGCAGGTGGGAGAAGGAGCTTAGCGGAGAGCGGCCACTCAGGAACACCAGGGCACCCCCTCCAAACCTCAAACTGGCTTCCAGCTGCTGGAGGGAGAGATACACAGTGCATCCTTCTGCAACTGCTGTCCTTCACCACACCGATCCTCCTGCTGTCCGGGCCACTTACAGGTGTACCGGTGGTACCCTTCTGATGGCAAGATGGCAACCCTGCATGGCTCTGTCTGCCGCTGCTCACCAGGTCCCTTCTTCTGGGGGGAGGTACCGCCCCCCCCCCCTAAAAATTGGCGCCCTAGGCAAACGCCTTGTTTGCCTCATGGTAGATACGACCCTGCCTAGGAGTACTGTTGCTGCTTAAAAGGAAAGGCTTATATCCCCAGTTACCTAAAATGGTTGCACATTACTGTATGTATATATACTGTATATATATATATATATATATATATATATATATATATATAGTATGCAGTATATATATCTTGTATGGAAACACACTGTACTATTCTTAATGAAAAACAGTGTATTAAAATTGAACTGGTATTGGTTTACTGTAAAATAGATCAAGTGTTTTGTGGATTTAATACATGCAGTACCTATTATTATTATTATACAGAATTTATATAGCGCCAACAGTTTGCGCAGTGCTTTACAAAATGAAGGTAGACATAACAGTTACAATACAATTTGGTAGAAGAGGAAACAGAGTGCCCTGCTCGGTAGAGCTTACAGTCTAGGAATAATTATAGTCTTACAAATACTATACTGTTTGGAGAGGTATAGCTCCTGCAAAGCCTATTAAGGAGAATGCAGCAATTCTGGTACTTTTTTGAGGGTTGTAGGTAGGCAGCAAATATTCTTAAGCAAGCAGCTCTTGCATCTGCTCCACTGCATCTCTGTAAATATGAAGTTTTGGGGTTCAAACAATGTAGATGTTAGTAAATGCAAAATGGAAATCCTTTGCCTTGAGCCTTTTTGGTGCTGCATATCCTATACTATGAGAAACTAGCTTTTATACTTAAGGCTGTCTACAGCATTTGCAGATCTTAACAGTTTTTCCAGGTTGTGGCAAATTGAAGGTGAAAGTTTGCATACCAGCCACATCCCCCTGTCTAGTTTTACATTCAGCAGTTGCTTCACCCTTTTCAGTCTCTAAAAAGAGGTTTCCAGACAAAGAACTATGCAAGTCATTGATGCAGGCGTATTTGTCTTAAAGCTTTGTAAAATTTACCACTATGAAGATTTACAAATTTGCAATTTATCTGGAATTCACTTTTGTATTCAGATATGTTTTATAAGCAATGAAGACTTACTTGAGAATAGAACACAGCATCTACGGAAAACTACAGATTGAGGTGATATCAACTAGAGAACACCAAAATGTTGCCATAATGCTTATACTACACATTTATATAAAAAAAAAAAGGTTCTCTGTTTTATAACTCATTCCAAAAGAAAAAAAAGGTTCAAAATGCACTGCATCAGTCTTCAGAGTGGAACCACTGTTTCATTTTTCTGTCCAGTATGCCATTCTCTGCACTGCACCTGTACATTAGAGTAAAACTTGGTGTTTGTGTATTATATGTACATACCTAGCTTTCTGCCTCAGAGGAACCTGTCACAATAAAGTGGCTGTAAAGGCTATTTTTTAAGTAAAATAATAAGCAAGCTATACTTACCTGCTCTGTGCAATGGTATTTCAGAGCAGTCCCTACTCCAGTGCTGTCTACTGTTCCTCTTCTGCATGTGCCCCCATAGCAAGCCATGTGCTATGGGGGCACACATGAGGGTGCATTCCAGAGTCGTACTGTGTGTGTACATAGACACACATACTATGGCTTGAACACTATGGCAGAACAGTAATTAAATCTACATTGATATTGATATTGTCCTGAAAGAAATCCTCAAATGAAACATTGTATCTAATAGTTTCTGAAATCTTGCTTAATAGAATATTCTTTGAAAAACAGGCATACAAATAAATATACTACATTGCAAATAATATTGTTATAAGCTTTTTTGGGCTGCGTGCAGTTACAACCTTGCATAGGGATGCCACGTAAAGTGGTTTTAAAGGCACAAAACCTTCTGTGTGAAGCAACCCCCCCAGCTCTTTCTAACACTTACCTGAGCCCCATCCCGATCCAGTGATATCCATGAAATCCTTGGTTCTGCAGGGACTCTCACTGCTGATTGGTTGAGGCAGCGGGGGATGGAATTGGCTCCCACTGTTGTTAATCACGGACCAGTGAGTCAATTAGGAGAAGGAGGGGTGAGGCCAAACCATGACTCTCTATGTGAATGGACACGCAGAGCCAATGGTTTGGGAATGCGTCTGCTTGCGTAAGAGCGCACTGCTTGCTGTAAGAGCATCCGGCAGGAGGGAGGTTTAACAATAGCCTAAAATGGCCCTGTTTACCATACAGGTGTTCTTCTGCCTAGGCTTATCCAGATCCCCTCCTCCCTCAAAGAAAAGTATAAAACTTAATTTACTGATGCGGCAATTCTATGGGTGGAGTCTTGTCCAACTGGATGAATTTTAATTTAGCAGAAAATATTGAATCAATAACAATGGTAATTAATGTGGAACTCTAACCAAAAGGGGAAGTTATGCTTGTTTGCACCCCCCCTTCCTCTTTAATGATTGGCACTTGGCAAGTACCTGGTTTTGGCAGGTACCCCACTCTCACTTCTGGTCAATTCACCAAGGCTATCTGAGTGGAAGTATGCCACCCCCCTCCTTCCCCCAAAGCCTTCTGGGACACATCACAGGTCCCAGAAGACTGCAGCACCATTCACAAAATGCAGCACTGCCCTTAAATTAAAAGTCAACAGTTATTGTAGCTGTTGACTTTTAATTTTGGGGGGGAGACTGGAGCTCCTCTTTAAGTAAAACAGGATTTTACTCACACCTGACTGAATAATAACCTATGTGAATGTTCTCTTTTTTGAAGAGGGAATTTACACTTTGCTTACTGAATGAAGTGAAATTGTGCTGACTTCAGTCGTCCAATCATGTGCCAGCAAAAATCCTGTTCCTTTAAATTTTCCTTGCACATGATGCTTGCAAAGTGAAATATGTACCAATCAATTTTGAAAGTGAACATAATGTACTCCATTATAAGGTCACTATAATAATTTTAATGAAAGTCTTTCATATAAATTGCCCCAGCATACATTATCATTTGTCCTTAACATAATTCTAAATAAAATTGGAATTTCAAAAGAGGTACAAAAATTAATTAATGCTAGAACCATGCAGCAATTCTAACTAATTTAAAATATATGTTCTTTCTGCAGACAGACAAGTCTAATTTCTGCACATTTTATAGAATGAGTGGGGGTGGTAGTGGTGTTAAATAAATATCAGTTGTGGGTCTGCTAGGGATTTCTATTTTCCATATAAGTTGTTCCCTTACAGTACAGTGTCCTCTTTCATTCTTACCTTTCCTCTGCCTGTTTTTTGAAACCACTTTTACAGCATAAACGTTTTAGCTGTTCTACTATTATTTCCAGTTGCTCTTGTGAAATCTTAGTAAACTAATGAGTTTTTTTTCTTTCCCTTTTGAAGTGAAAACTACTTCTTCCTTTACCTGGAAGCTATGTCTGGATTTGTGGTTTTGCTGTTTACCCACTGTCATACAAGGCTGCCAGAATGTTTTCATTTCTAAGCCATATAAATTCACAGTTAATCATTGGCTGTATTTAGGGCTCACTCCTGGAATTTTCTTTTTCCTTTCAGTTGAAAGAGACAAGGACTTTTCACACCACCGACGGCACTACAAGGAATTCCGATTTGACCTCACTCAAATCCCACGTGGGGAAGCCGTCACAGCAGCAGAATTCCGCATCTACAAGGATCGGAGCAACAATCGCTTTGGGAATGAAACTTTAAAGATTAGTATTTATCAGATCATCAAGGAATATTCAAATAGGTAGTGTGTTAATAATAGGTATATATGTGTATAATAGAAAGAATGAAACATAAAAATATACAGCATAAAGTGTGTGTGGTTTAGTAAAAAGAAGTATACGAATCTTAACAAAAAGAAACATTTGTGTGTTCATGCGAGTAACAGACTTATTAAAGATAAAATATATATTAATTTTTGAATGCTTTATGATTTTATATGGGTGCCCATCAATCTAGGCTTAACGTGGCTGTCAGTCCACAATTATGAAGAAGCAATTAGTTTGTTTTGGGTGGCAGTCCAGGGTAGGTGCAACAATTTGCTCTAGTAAGAAGTTTTAGGTGGTTATCATGCTGGAAAGTGAAGATTGGGTACAACATGCAAGCATCAGTTTGAGGGAATTATGGGTGCCTGCCAGTGCATGTGGCCATTTTTTCAGGAGATTGTGATGATGTGTCTGTCTTTGGGTTGGTGTGGTGGAGGTTGTCAATCTAAAGGAAGTGTGGGTGGCTGTCATGCCATGAAAGAAGCCGTGGGGTTAAACATCAATTTGCATACGTGGCAACTTTAGCTGTGGGTATGTTAGTCACAATAGTGTACTCATTTGAATGGCCATAATTGAGCTGCATTTTATTGTGGTGAAAACATATAGACCATAACCAAGAGATTCACACTAAAATAATTATTTGATGAAAATGTACAAGTGGAATTATGTTTTCCAGATTGAATACTATAAATATATTTTATTTACATGTTTGCTGTAGGCACAGTGAATTGGAAAATGGACATTGTGTACCTACAACATGCTGGAGCACTATGAGAAATACAAGGATGAGATTATTGTGGCTTATGGTGTGGTGGAATTCAGGTGTGGCTACAATAATGTGATCCAATATAGTGAAAATATTGTAAGGTAAGGTAGTTGTAGGACATAATGTCCCCTAGTGAAGAGCCAGAATCTCGCCATTCCAAAGAATTACTTTATTACGCTAAGTAGAGTGTACAGGTAAAACTTGCTTACGCGTTTTGGCAATAATCATAGCCGATAATGGTCCCTGAGGTTAAAGATTTCTTTTCCACCATAGCTGCATGCTTGGTAAAGTGGATTGCAATATATCATGGCCAATGAGGTTGTAATATCTTAGCTCTACCATAATAAAAGGTGAGAGCTCTCAAGCAATTTCATGACATTACAGCCACACTCTCCCTAGCATTCTGCTACATCGTGGCAAAGATGTAAACCACATTTGTTTTAAGGTGGAATGCAGAATGCTGTGATGTTCTCATTTACCATGTGAGCTGCATGCATACAGGATTCTGATAGCAGTGTGTAAGCCAAGACTTTTTTTTACAGATACATAAAAAAGTGTCTGTTCAATGTGCCAACATTGTTACAGCGCATGTATGATAACAGTGTGAATACTCACTTGCATTTAGTAATGCTGCAGTCATTGGAGTTCTCTATTCCCCTGCCAGTTCCAACAGCAACATTACGGAGCAAGCCCATAATACACCTGGGGTGGTTAGGGATTTTGAGAGGTGCAAGATATCAGGGTAAGTGATGAGCTAAACTGCCCTGGGTTTGGTTAAATCTGAAAAATAAAAACACCCATTTTCTGGGCAAATGTAGGCAAACATGTCGAAAAATAGCAAGGGGAGAGGAAATGCCCTTCACAGTCTGGTGCTCCAGTAAGTGCTGGATAGGCAGAGCAGAGAGCCGGAGACTGAAAGTCACCAGCTCTCTGATCACTGAAGAACCAAGCAATCAGCGGTCTTTGATTGCTTGGTTCTCAGTCTTAGAGGTGAGTATGATTGTTGTGAAGCCCACAATTCTCTTTTAATAACATGTAAAGATAAAGTAGAAAAAAACTGCGGAGGGAAGGACTAAAAGTATAGAATTAATGCCAGTAGGATTTATTAAAAAAGGAGGAAGGGGGCATGGGGGACCTGTTGGGTTTGCCCAGAGGCAAGTTTTAATTAAGTCTAAGATGGCAAATTACAAAACCAGCAGTTAAAACAGTAAATCATTCTCAGTTACATCAATACCTGAGATAGGTATAGGTGCGTTTTTAAAAATGTTAACAGTTATCTACAGTAGTGTTTTGTTTCAGGTTTACTGGTCATTTAATGCAAGCTTCTAGCATTCTTCTATGAAATAGCTTTGCAAGTCTGCAGTTCTCAAACCACAGGCTATCCTTCCTTTCTGTTCTTGTTCAAGTCATTTCTATATGGTTTTCTTTTTTTTTATATATTCAGGTCAAAAGTTTGCATATTTTAGGTAACAGGAGTATATACTTGGAGAGATCTTGAGTAAACTAAGAATTCAATCCCAGCTTCTGTTTGACTTTTCAATTGCTACTTTGGATTAAGTGGTTGGCGTACAACCAGATAAAGTTTTATTCTGCAGCACCCGCAAGTTTTATTTTTAGTCAGACATAGATACAACAAAAGCAGTTTATCATGGCAGCTGCTGCTATATTAAATGTTCTGGGCTACGCATAGGTGCAAATGAGATTTTATTTTATATGCTACTGGAAGAATGAAAGGTAGAAAATGTTCGCTATGGGAAGCATATACAGTTCGTCCAGGCGCTTATGCGGCTGTTTTCTACCACTCTGCACACTGTCTGAAGGATTTAAGATTAATTTGTCAACCTGATCTGGAAGAATTAGTTCACCAAGGTTCAGATTTAAGTCAAAGGGGTTGTTTTACTAAAGAAAAATAGACTTTTCACTTTGCAGGGGAAGTTGCACTTTGCAAGGGAGTTTTTCCCAGAGTTTAGTGATTGAAACGAAACTCTGGTGAATTTCATCATACAATCAAATGCAATAAAAATGTTTTCTTAAAAATTTCCTGGCATATGATGCAATATTCTTTGAAAAGTGAAATTTCTCCACATTCACTAAGCTCTGGGGGAATTTGCTCTGCAAAGTTTGCTTTGCAACTTTTCTTTTAGGTTATTTGCCTTTACTAAATCTGTAATTTCCTAAAGAGTTATTTCTGACTCCTAGAACGACAAATATACTAAATATAAGCCATTCTTAATGTATTTGATAAAGAAGAACTCCGCATTCATTAAAAAATTAATATAGCATGTGAATTTTCTTCACAAGCCATTTTGTAATTTAATGTTATAAAAAAATTACTTTTCAATTTCAGTTTGTGGATGCTGTAGCTTTCTAAAACTGTTAAAAAAAAGTTCAATGCAGTATGGCAGCCTGGAGGCATTGTGTACACTCTTGGTTTAGAAGATGATAAAAAGACATTTTATTTCCTGCTTCTGTGATTGGCTGGCTGATTTTCTCATACATCTGCGCTAAGATACAAGACAGGTTTTAGGCATTTGGTACAAAAGGAATTACATTTTGTTTGGTGAAATACTTCTCAAAGGTCCACTACGTCTAAAGAGATGCAAACTGTGCAACTTTCCTCATCAGAACACTGAGAGTGACCCAGGTGGTTATAATAAAGCAGACTCTCCTGTACAGGAATCATTCTGGGAAGGACTTGGTGAAACAGATTTCTCATCAAAACAGGACAGATATGAATCTGCAGCAAAGTTTGTGAAAATCCTTGCAATGTACAAAGATCATCAGGAGGAGATTTTAGTTTTCCCAATAAAAGTGAAGTTACACTTTACGTCTTAACAGTTTAGCTACTCTGTCATTAGGCAGTAGATATGAGAAAATCTGCCTGTGTTTGATTTTCTGAGGGTTCAGAAATTCTACAAACCTGTTAGTAACCAACCAACAGTTATTTGTATAGTGCCTGCAATTTACACATTTCTTTACCTATCGTACATTCATACCGTTGCCTGCCCTCAAGGAGCTTACAATTCAAGGTCCGTATCCTACATGCATACATACATGTACTAGAAACAATTTAGATAGGAACTAATTAACTTACCAGCATGTCTTTAAAGCATGGTAGGAAAATGGAGAATCTGGAGGAAACCCATACAAAAACAGGGAGAACATGCAGATTCCACGGATAAACTCCTGTCAAAAAATCCATGGGGAGTTGGACACTGCCATGGGGTACAAATACCAATGTAAAAAATTTAAAAAAAATATATCCCTGTAAAGTGGAGAGAGGGTCTTTCAAGCAGCTTTGAGGACAACATCAAATTTATACAAATCCTCCACAATAACATGCTTGGGGATGCCTTAAAGATGTATGTCATGTTACAGAACAGTAGCAAGCTGTGTGGAGACAAAGGTGAGGGAGGCGTCCTGCATCTGGGACAAAATAGAGATACAGTGTAGTACATTGGAAGCACCAGGCCCTCTAGGTAAACAGGAGGCTGTGGTCACATGGAATGCTCAGGAGACTTGGAGTGACACTGGATGCTCAGGAGACATGGAATGTTAGTGAGTCTGGGTGACTGCACTTATGGCAAAGGTATGAGCCCTAAAAAGGTCTCAGACGCAGGGTCTAAAGAAGTCACCTGGTATTCACAAGAGCAGACTGTGAGGGATGATGGAATTTGCTGAAGGACAGATCCTGGGTTACAGCCCTAGCAGGTTCTATCTGTGAAGGTGCAATGGATACTATAGAAGCACTGGGTTGCATAGGTCGCTGGATGTACAGGAGTCTCAGGAAGCATTAGAGTGGTGCTCCTAATGGGTGCACAAGAGGTACAGAAATCTGTAGAATTACTGGTGAAGAAGGGCCGCTAGAGACACGGAATACAATGGTCACAGGATGTACAGGGATGCAGTAGTCTCTGGGAGCACTGAGGCACAAGGGTCAAGGAAAACTCTGGGTACACGGATCACAGGATGCACAGGGATGCACAGGGATGCTCAAATCTCTGAAAGCACAAGGGTACAAGTGCAGAGAAGCACAGAATGCTGGTGTCACAGGAAAGACACAGAAACACTGGGGATCATAGGAACACTGGAGTACACAGCATGGTGGGATTAGCAGATAGCTAGGAGAACCAATGCTCAAATGCAGAGCAATAATCCAGATAGCCTTTAAAGGAAATCTATAGTCACAGCATATACTTTCATTATTTTAAC